TGTGTGTGTGTGTGTGTGTGTGTGTGTGTAAATGTGTGTGTGTGTGTGTGTGTGTGTGTGTGTGTGGGTGTAAATGTGTGTGTGTGTGTGTGTGTGTGTGTGTGTTCTCCTTCAGCAGCTGTCTCTTCTTGTCTTACCGTCTGAACTTTGACCATTCAGATCAAACAACAGTTGCTGCTGTTTGCCAGGAAGTGGAGCCGACTGCTCTTCGCCACACAGGAAGTATCAACTTCATCTAACCCTCCTCATCCTCACACCCTTATCCTTACAAACAGGTCTGTTCAGCACTCCACACACCACCCTGTAGAACCCTATGGAACCCTGTAGAACCCTGTGAATCACTGTTGAATGCTGTACAACCATGTGGAGCCCAGTGGAAAACTGTGAAACCCTGTTGAACTGCTATGGAACCTTGTAGAACTCTGTGGAACCTTGTGGAACCCTGTTGAAAACTGTGGAACCTTGTAGAACCCTGTGGAACCCCATGGAGCCCCGTGGAACCCTGTGGAGCCCTGTACAACGCTGTTGAACCTTGTGGAACCCTGTTGAACCCTGTGGAACCTTTTAGAACCCTGTGAAGCGTTGCTGAACCTTGTAGCACCATATCAATCAATCAATCAATCAATCAATCAATCAATTTTATTTCTAAATAATATATATTTATATATACATATATGTATGTGTATATATATATATCTGTATATATATTTATCTTCCCAATGTCACAAATCACAATTTGCCTCAGAGGGCTTTACAGCATACGACATCCCTCTGTCCTTAGGACCCTCATAGCGGATAAGGAAAAACTCCCCCAAAAAAACCCTTTAACATGGGAAAAAAATGGTACAAACCTCAGGAAGAGCAACTGAAGAGGGATCCCTCTTCCAGGATGGACAGACGTGCAATAGATGTCATACAGAACAGATCAACATGATAAATTAACAGTAATCCGTATGACACAATGAGACAGAAAGAGAGACAGAGATAGAGAGAGACAGAGATAGAGAGAGATCCAGGACAGATGGTAATGATAATAGCTTACAAAAACATTAATTAAAGTAATAATATTATAATAATAATAATTACAGCTATTGTGGTACAGTATGTTGAAAGTATATATTAATATCTGATAGTATACATATGTAACAATAATCATATGTGTAACAGCAGCAGGAGGCATTAGGCAGGACCACTGCAGCAGCACAAACACACGTCACACTATCCAGGCACCGCTGCAATATAAGTTAACCTGCGAGACAGTGGAGCAAAAAGGCTCCGGAGAAGAAGCCGAGTTAGTGACATGCAGTACAGCCAAGTTAGCGAGATGCAGTAACAGGACATGAGTGTTAGCAAGGAGAGAGAGAGAGAACTGTCATTTGTTTGATGAACAAATGGATCAACATGCAGTCTTGGCCACCATTTCAGGTGGCAAGACCTAAAGGACAAGCTCTCACATGTCCAGTTTAGATCTTAACAAATGAGAAATCATCTGTGGTCCAGTGAATCCCAACAATAGCTTCAATTCATGAGCAAGAACCACACCATTAGCAAGATACATTTAAAGGATTTATTAATTAAAAATGCTTGGTGTGCAAGACTTGAAAATTGTTTATAGTTCTTATGCTTGCTCTCTGTGTCGTGGAGGAGCTTAGGTCGAGAATTGTCCATACAACCTGGGAATGACAGACCCCAAAACCTCCAGGTTTTTAAGACAAGATTGGAAGGATCTGAGATCTTGAGACCTGAATGACTGCAACAGTTATACACATGGGTGGGTCAGTGGCCAGTGATTTATTTTAGGTGTTTGATATTAAGTGTTCTAGGATGCCATTGCAAGAGGGCAAGGTAGTGGGTTCTGATCCTAAAGAAGAGTCCAGAATAATGAACACCATAAATGCCAGACTAGGAAGAAGTGTTGATGGAACTACAG